CATGTTTTTGTGCTTTTCTCTGATCGACTATGCTATATGTTGGAACAATGTGAAAGTGAGACCACAGAAGATACTTTATCTCATAAAGATTCTGTTGGACAGTACGAAGACGATGAAACACAAGTGGGTTACAGATTTTTAAATACCAGTTTCAAGTTCTGGAGTTTAAAAGAAAGTCATTTAACAGGAAGATGCATCAAGCCTTGCCGGGTTCGGGGTACGACCGGAGGAAATGCACGTCACCGAAGAATGGTTCCACGGAAAGACGGATCGAGATACAGCTAAGGCCCGACTTTTGGAGCATAGTGATAAGGGTAACGGTCTATTCTTGGTGAGGGACTCGACAATTTTTATCGGTGACTTCTCGTTATCATTTCTGTAAGTTTTTACAGTGCTTAATTAAACACGTATCTACTGGCTAACCTAGTAGTTAATTGACAATAATAGATGCATTTATGAAATGACGCAGTTTTTACTTTCTATATTCACTATTTTATATTAGTTTCCAACTTGTTAGATTCACTTTGCGTATTTTAAAATTTAGTTAATCTAGGCATGATGGGAAAGTTCATCACTGCCGGATACGGACCAGAATGGTTAATGGTGAAAAGAAGTATTATTTTTTGGAAAATAAGCAGATGGATACGCTGTATGAGTTAATATCATATTATACCAAAGAAAAGCTAAAAACACCACACTTTAGTACAACACTAATCACTCCATGCCCGCAACCGTGTCCACATCTCAATATGCCGTAAGTTTATAGTATCATTAAATGCGCTATTTTTTAAGCTTTACAAAAGCAATACAGAGTAATACACTTTGCAATGAATTTTGAAAGAATATTTTTGATTTTGATTTTGTTATGGAGACTTGATATTAAGTTTCATATTGAACGATAAGATGACTATTTTTTTTTTTTTTTTTTTGTTTGCAGTTGGTTTGACGAGAATGCTGATAAACAGCGCGCAGAAGAATTGCTAAATACTGTACGAGAAGATGGAGCATTCTTGATTCGGTATAGCAGCAGTGACAAAAACGTTTTTGTCTTATCACTAAGGTATCCTCTGTTTAGTATCATTTATCAGTATAATTTCCTTTTTGTTTTTTCTTTTGGAAAACGAATTGGGGTCGGAAGGTGATTAAGAGACAATTTCATCTGACAAATTTCAACTTTGCTGTAACTCTTAAAATTGGTTACTTTAATGTTTTCAGATAATTTGTTTCTATTCCTTCTTTATAATGGCATTTAGAGTTGATGGAGAATTTTGGCATTATCGTTTAAAAAGGGATGGCCGTATATTTGTTGTTAATCAAACAGTTTTCGAAAACCTTAATCAGGTTGTTGAATTTTATTCTACCCGGGACTTGGTCAGAGGAGTCAGCTTGAAGTACCCAGTTAATGAAAAGAACGTCGGCATTTATTCAAATCCAGAATTAAATGTAGCAATCGCTCCAGGATGCTACATGGAACTTAAAGACTTGGAGAAAGAAGAAGAAGTATTTTGTGCTTAGTCACTCTGTTGATTTTTCAAAATAATAGTTGATTTTTACTAATAAAGCGTTTAATTTTATAATGAATTTTAGACATATGTTCGAAGTCTCGAATCATACAAAGCTGTTCAGCCAAACGAGCTTTCATTCCCAGCTAATGCTATTATCACAGTGATACGTAAAGACGGTTTGAGGTACAAATTATTTCTAATATAATACCTTAGTTTTGTGTAAAGAGAAGGAGAAAAAAGTGCTGCTTTCTGCAAAACGATTTTATAAAAAACTTAGAAGGCTTTCTGAGGTCTAAAATAGACTTGAAATGCATTGGCATGTAGATTTGAAACTCTGACTTTGATGCGAATTTTTTTTAGTTAGATGCAGTTGAGTAAAGATAATATTTGGAAGTTTTTTTAAGTGTTGCATAAGTTAAGTCTTAAAACTGTTGAAATACTTCAAAATATCAAATTTTTTGTTTCAACATGAATTATTTTAGGGCGATGTGAGGATCAACTTTAGAATTACCGTAAAATGAGCTTTTTTTGTACCAAAGAAAGTTTACATTGAGAAGAAATGTGTAGATTTTTATAATGATTTTTTGATTTCTTTGAAATAATTTGTGATTTCTTTTCTGCCAGTTCCCTCTTACTGGATTAAAATTTGTGGGGTATACAGTAATTTAGTAAAGTTGAAAGGTTTTGCAGCAAATGAACCATAACTGATGTTGTTTGAAGTTGAAATTGATTTCTCAAATAAGGCTTTTCTTTTTTTTGGCTCGATCGTCTGTAATAAGCTTAGCTTTTTTGATTTTTTTCTTAACTGAACTGTTAGTTGTCTGCTGTCTGTTTCCGTTGAGTATACGTAGCGTTTCGATAGCTTCCCTGTGTCGGTAAAATTGCTGCCTACTCCGTCGGCAATTAGCAAGACATCTTAGCATTTTACTCTGCCTTTTTATCATTTGGTGCGCTTCTGGATTTTAAATCACTCTACTTATGAATGGCATACGTTTCAAAACAGTTCACAACTTTCTCCGTAACATCAATGGTTGTGTCTTACAGTATATTGGCTCAAATATCAATTAATTATCTCGTTTTCCCATATTTCTTTAACAAATTTCACTTATGACACTGAAAGTTTTATAGTCTGTAAATGACTTCACATTATTTGCTTAGAAAAAGAATATAAAAATAATACGTTTTTTGCTTATTTCTCCTTTTATTCAAGTTATTTTAAACCCTAAGGAAACTGGGATATCTATTGAAACATTTTTTATTAAGATGGAGAGGAAGGTACGGAAATCAAGTTGGATTCTTTCCTGCTACGTGTGTTACAGAGATAGAATCACTGGAATCATCAGTTGGGTTAACACTAATTATTGTTCTATTAATTATTCAATTAATAATTTTTGAACCTCATTGATTTTCTATTGAATAATAATTTCTGAAATATTTCTTCGCAGATTTTTTTTGCTTGGAAACCAATTAAGATTTTTACTATATAAAAAATACTAACATTTTAATTCAAGGAGGAACCTGTAAATTACGTAACTATCGAATTGGCTGGTTCATTGATTGAAAAGATTTCTAATGAAGAAACTGATCATTCATTTGCGTTCCGAATTAGTCAGGCTGCAGCGCACTGGAATACAGTGGTATTTCAGAAGCCTTCTACATTAATTTAGTGACAAATTTGATTGTGAATTCTAAGTTTGCATTATTTTTTAAAATATCCTTTCTGTAAAAGATCTGCTGGACTTTAATGACGTGTTTTTGCAGGAATACATTTTGGCTGCAAACTCAAGTGATGATCAGGAAGACTGGTTGAATACACTTCATGAATTGACAAGAACTGCAACAGACAAAGCTCACATTTTAAGGATCAGAGAAAGGGATCTGCGTATTGCTTCTGAGTTATCGAATTTGGTGGTCTACTGTCAGGCTGTACCGTTTAATCCTCTATTTGCTAGTGAGTCTGATTAATTTTTTGGATTTTTTTGATTCATATCTTTTCACATTTATACCTCTCGTATCGGCAGATTATTCTCTCTGACATCAAAACTTGATGCTGTGGTTTATACTAGCACCTAGTTTGGAAGTTCTTACAGTATTTGTTGTTTGCATTATTATGTGGACAATTACTATGCAAACTGATTGTTGCCTGTTGTTATACGAGTTTTTTTTTAGCGCAGGGAAACTTCTATGAGATGTGTTCCTTCAGTGAAGCGAAACACCAGAAGCTGTTTGAAAAAGGTCTTATCCAGTTTAATACTAGGCAGCTATCAAGAGTGTATCCAATGGCATCTCGAGTAAGGTCTGGCAATTATGATCCTGTTCCAATGTGGAACTCAGCCTGCCACATGGTCGCGCTCAATTATCAGACCGGCGATAGGGTAAAGTGTCATCTTTTTCGCTTTACAAAGAATTTTTTCATTTACTTATTGTCAGCTGTAGTAGCAGGACATAGTTTTGATGATAAAGTATAGTAATGGCAAAAAAATTTTTTTGAAAAGGTTATGGCCTGATGAATCAGTAAAAAAGTCTGTCAACTGGCACTGATATTTTGATTTTAGCCGATGCAGCTAAACCAGGGTAAGTTTATGGCAAACGGTAAATGTGGATATGTTCTAAAGCCATCCTATATGATTGATGAGATGTTTTCACCGGATGCTGCAAATGTTATTTCTACGTCATGTCCAATCTTTCTCACTATTCAGGTTAATTTTTCTTTTGAGGTAATTCTTACTCACGAAATTGACTTGACAGACTTTTAAAGCTGTCGATTTTTATGAACACTGTTAGTTTGCTTTTTTGTTACTTAACGTATGCTGCAGTTTGAAATGGCATTTTTTTGATTAGGTCATTGGTGGTCGACACCTCTCCAGAAAAGACAAGAGCAAAGGCATTTGTTCGCCATTTGTTGAAGTCGAAATTGTTGGATTTCCAAATGACAGCATTGCTGTTCGTACACGAACGATAGGTGAGCTAAATCTTTTTTGTTAAAGCTGTACGATGTTGAACTCATTCAAAGTTATTTTAACTTTTTTAATATCGTTATATGTTTATGTTTTTGAATGAAAAAGCTCTGATCAATTTTTTTGAAAAATTTATACTTTAGCTTCAAATGGACTTAACCCCATCTGGAACGAAACCTTCCATTTCTCGATACATTGTCCAGAAGCTGCTCTGTTGCGATTTAACGTGGAAGACGGTGATTTTGTAACTGATCCGTTCATTGGACAGGCAGTCTATCCGTTAGATTGCATTCGTACGGGTAACTTTTTTACCAGTGAATAAGTAATACTGTTTTTTGTATATTTGGCGATGCAGAAATGATATTCATCTATAATTCCACATCTCAACGCCTTTCTTGTCAATTTAAGACTTCTGGTTTTAGGATTTCGATCGGTGATCTTGAGGAATCATCACAGTGAAGAACTTGAGTTGTCGTCACTTTTAGTCTTCGTGGAGATGAGAAGGTCTGAGCGAGAGGGTAAAATTATTGACCCGCATTCTGTTTTACAAGCTGGGCGAACTCTTGTTGGTTAGCTACGTTTTTATGTTAATTAAAATAAGAGGTTTTTTTGAGTTGATTAAATGATTTTGCGTTGTTGACATAGCTAATGAAATAAAAACAGTGTCATATAATCTTTTGTCTCCCTGCTACGCTTCAAGTCTCTTCAAGTAGTGTTATTAAGTTTTGAAAATGTCAGCACCGTGGAACTATATTCGGTATAATTTTGGCACTGAAGCCACTTGTAAAATTGACACTGATTTCTTTACGATATTTACTCTAGGTAGTCCACATAAAGCAGTATCTGTTTCTAACGGTATTATTGCGCCTCATATCACTCCAACTTTTCAAAATTCGCATCCAACTTCACCTTCTCCAACAATTCTGCATCATTCAATTGACGGTCAACGATCGAGGAGTTTGGAAAGTTCCGAGTGAGTTTTACTCAATTTAATTTTTGACGTGCTATGAAATATCGGCGATAAAGGTCGCTGGTTGTGTTATTTATCACCAATATGGGAAACTTCGCTGTCTCTTAAGATCT